TACTTTTTTTTTTATACATTACGTCATGTCATAAGGATAAATTAAATGTTTGCGGTTGCAGTAACCTTACACATGACATACTAGTGGTTTGCATGGTATTGATAGATTTGAAATCCATTACTAACAGTCGGAAAAACCTAATAAAACATTTACATAAGATAACATATTTAAAAGGCATAGAAAATAAAGGAAATAACAATATAATCGTAAAATACATTTCATGCATCACATCTGCCATGTAAGCAAAACTTTAAACGAGGAAAACTATTCAAATTAAAATACATTATATTTAATTTTAATTTAATGTATTAATCATACTTTTTGCTCTGATGAATTAAACCGTAAACGTAGACAGTAAGTCTCAGTTATGAGTGTATTTTGATGCAATGCGACCAACACCTTAATTATTTGTAATTTGAATTAATGTTGTCCAACTGCGCCAAAGAAAAATTAAAAAATATAACTAGGATTATATTGATGATTAGAGTATTAAGATCTTTACAACCGAAATAGGTGTAATGGCTAATATCTGGTCTAAAACAACGGATCACAATGAAAATATTTAGTTAATTATATGAAATATAATAATCAAATTAAGTAATGCAACGAATTATTAATAATTTTATAAATAAGTTGTTTGTTGCCAATATTACTCATCATAAAGAAAAATTATTTCTATGATAAAGACCTTCCTTTACTCTAGATAGTTTGTTACGTTTCTGGCGTTAGAGCTGCCAGAGCTCTGCTATAGTTGTACTTAGAAATGACACAACCAGGTATTATTTTGTCTAGTGGTAGAGCGGTCTAGTACACCTCTTTCAAGTTCTCTAGCACTCCTTTATACTTTATGTCTATTTCTATGTATTACACAATTTATAGATTACAAGATAAGGCTGTCATAGGAAAGCCATTGTAGGATATTTCAGTTTTTTTGTTAACCTGGCGATATTAACTTCTCTAAATTACAGTCATTATTTAACAATGAGGATAACAGGTAAAGATTATTTTAGAAATATAAATAAATAAGATATAGGGCTCCTAATACTCAATCATTCAAATTTATATCTTTCTAAGTAAGCCAAATTTTCGGCCATTCATAGGGGCAATCTGTACATCATTCAATTCAAAATAAAATTATTTTTCTTTTCATTGTCTGTTATTAAAAAAAAAAAAAGTTATAAGGCAATGTGCAATTAGATAATCGAGAAAATACTATTTGATTCCTATAAATGAATTTGAAAAGAAAATATGGATAAAGAATATTAAAATTTTATTTCGGAAACAAATAAAATACAAATACTAACACTAAAATTTTAAAAATATCTTTATTTATTCTGGTACCGTATCACTCGAGTATCTAGAGAAATAAATATGCAACGACTGAAATGGCATAAGTGTTGCAATGCTCACATGCTAGATATAGTCCGTGGTACAGACCGTTTTTGGCATATTATTAACATCCGGCTAAAACTTCGTACAAAGCTTCATCTCATCGTAACCTACAAATATTTTATTTAAGAAAATTCTCGGAGTCGGGGCGTTTTCAATCTGGAGGTAGACAAATTTTGTTTATTTAATTAATGACTAAAAAATAATAAATACACATTTGCTTTCCACATGAATCGTAAGATAATTTCCACACGAAGTTGGGAAAAAAAGGTGCCCTTCAAATATTGAGCCGTTCGGCGTGACCTTCACTCCCCAAATAGTCAAAATAACGAGGTTATATGAGCCAAACGGCCCAATATTTTTGTAGGCCACATTTGTTAGCGATTTTGTGATCAAATTATCTTAAGAACCAAGTGGAAAGGAATTGGCTATTTACGAGTTTTTAGTACCTAATTAAACGGACAAAGTTTGCCGACCTCTAGATTGAAAACGCCCCAATTTCGAGAATTTCCCTTAATAAAATATTTGTAGGTTACGAAGAAATGAAGCTATTTACGAAGTTTCAGCCGAATGTAATTAATTATATAAAAGAGAGTCTGAACCACGGACTAATAAAAAACAAAAAGAATCAACAGTTTACATATCTATTTCAGCTTGAAGAACAGAACTTAGCCAAAGGAATTCTAATATTTATGTAAGGACGATAGACTGATCAAAATAATATTTGAAAATAAAATTTAAATGCAATTATCAAACAACAGATTTGTACAAAGTTTATTTGTCAACAAGGTTTAGTTCTTGCACTGAACAGTTATTTGAAAAAAATGTAACTGTTCAGTGGCAGAATTGAATACATTTATGCAATCCCAAAAACAGCTTTGATAGAATGAAATGGAATTATAATACAATTTTTTTAAGTAAAAAAATCTTTATAATTACGGGGTAAAGTAGCAGTTTTACGAAGAGATCGTCTGGTGATCTTGAAATCTGAGAACATATCCGCCAGAAAGCTTGCAACGAACTGTTCATATTCCGTCAGCTATGACACAGAAATGATTCAGAATTATCGATACCTTGTCCTCCTTATCGATTATCTGTCATTTGTGTGCAAAGCCAGTTGAATCGACTAAATTATTGGCGAGTATATATAAATGGAACATTGGAGCACACAGAGGCCACAAATAGGACACACTTTTATAATTAATAAAACAAGCAACTATTTTAATGACCATGCGTGTTACGTACAATCTGACTTATTTTAATATTTTGCAACTGTAATAAAATGATAAACAAATATTAATCATATAAAAAAGAAATAATTTCTCTCAGTCGAATGCATTCAGATATTAAATGAAAATCTGCAGAAATTAAAAATTGGTTAATACTCTCGTAACTGACTTTTTTACTGAGATTTATTTAATTTGTTTATAACTTGAATGGAAATGATTTCTCCGATAGCTTTGTAGCTTAAATATTGGCAAAAATCATTTACCAATTCTTAATTCATAATGATTTCATTAATTCATTCAGTCAAGAAAGAGATAGATTTTTTGGTCATTATATATATATATATATATTAAATAAAAGAGGATATTTAGTTTCTTCAGATTTATATTAGGAGAACATTAAGAGGGAATTGTTTTCTTTAAAAGGAATACAAAACAAAGGTCTCGCGTTTTTAATTTAATATATTAATAAATTCTTATTAAAACGAATTATACATCATTCTAAAGTATATAATGAAAAATTTAATATCTAATTTTCTTTAGCGACTTTTTTCATTTAGCATTTGTTAACAGAGTCTTAATTTGTTAAAGGCTATCACACGACTTTTCGTCAAATTGAGGAGTTCAGTAGTTGTGGGAAAACGTTAAAAGGTTCGTATTGATAATTTGAGACAAAATCTTAATTAATTATTATATTAGTTAGATAAAAAAATGGTGCTACATTTTAGAAAGATTTAAAGACCCGAAAGAGACGAATTAATGAGAAACTAGCGGAGAGTTTAAGGAAAGACGTTACGAAACGATTCAGGCGAACATTTTTACTTAAGAAATGAACTGAAACGTACAAATGTTTATTCAATAATTTTTTTATACATTTAAATGAAGGAATAAGTTATAATTCACAAAAAACATCGTTATGGATGAGGATTTTGAATGCTATGTACATATACCTAATTCAGGATATATTGTATTGTAACTGCTTCTCTGTCAAGAAAGTATTAAATAACATTTAAGTATTCCTAACGTTTTTGAGAAAACATGATTTTGAAAACGGATATGAATTATCGAAGATTTAGCCTAAATCTATATAAACGTAGTCAGAAAGAGTCCTATTATTTAATAAAAAGATTAATAATTAATTATAGGATAGAGTAATAAGCATTTATTTCTTAATTAGATAATTAATCACTTTTTAAGTAATGGAATATTAAACTATTTAAATAGTTTTCATTATTCAAGATATTTTGTGATCTGTTCTCATTTCCTTCTCTAACATGTCTTAAATATATTCCAACGTTTCGAGGTTTAATTTAATTTTATTCGACTTTGGGAGCTGTACGAAGTTATACTACACCAACAGAATCACATTTTATTAAAAAAAAAACAAAAAAAAACAGAAAGATGATATATTAGGCATGAAACAAATTTTTAAGTAAAATTTTCAATCGAATAGGATTCAAATAAAAATAAAAATTTAAATTTTTTACAGTAAAATTATATTGGTAAAATAATTCATTCAAATATATATATATATATATATATATATTATATATATATATATATATATATATATATATATATATATATATATATATATATATATATATATATATATATATATATATATATATATATATATGATACATAAAACATACATACCTTTTTAGAATTTTTTTGTCCGGGCCATTTTAGTACTTAGATAAATAAAAAATGTTTTATTTCAGAGGTTTTAAATGGGAGGATTTAAGATATCTGTAAAACTGATTTTGTGTGAAATACAAACATTATTTAATCACATATTATTCTAAATTATTATTATTATTATGAATTATGAACTGTCTACAAGTTGTTATATGCACGAATGGGTATCATCTACAGAACATAAATTCAATTTTTATTTAATTTTTATTAGTTATTTTTAAATGAACCGTAATTATTCAAATCGATTCTTTCTTAATTATAATATTCCTGTAGATAGTTGAAGAGAAAGCTTTGTTATTTATATAGTTATTCAATGCATTTTATTTTATATTATAAAAAAGTAATTAACAAGTAAATTAGCAGTTTAAAATATACAATTAAAACTAATTAAATATGAATGGGGTTTTGAAGCCCATATAACGAACTTCAGTGAAGTTTATAAGTACAATATTATTTATTCTTTATTTAAGATCTTGATATCCACTAGGTTCTCAGATATCTTACAGATTAAAAACCTATTCTCGCAAGAATGAGAAGATCGGAATTTATTCAGAAGGTTAATATGAAAATAAAGCCAATCCTTTTAGACTAAATTCGAGCATCGCGCACGAACCATCCATACGTTTTTATACTTTATATGATATTTAAGCAGTATATAATGTATAATGTAATAATCGTACTTACCATTAACTAAAATTTGGTTGAGGGCCGGCTCGCTTCCCCGCCTAACTTGCAGAGGTCCTGGTATTCCAGAGGCAATGTGTTCATCCGTCACCTCTATGTCGGTACCTCCTTTCTCTCCGACAGCCTGTAAATACAATAAATAAAATTATATACTATAAATAAATAACGTATTGTATTTGTAATATTACATCAAAATAGAGTGGCCTCGTGTAATAAGTGTAGTTGCTTCTAACTTCACACAACCGCATGCTGGCAAGGAATGAAATTTCATATCAGGCACGTAAGCTTATCAGAACAAAGCGAAAATATTTAAACAATATCCAAACAACGACATTTACCGACGTTCAATGAAATAATGTCCACGTTTGCAAATAACTGGATACTATAAAAATATAAATAAAAGAATAATAAAAAATTTAAAGTAATTATGTACTGAAATATTCGAAGGAATCAATACAAGCTAGGACACATAGAAAACAACGAAAGACTTTTATTTCCGTGAAATGAATAGTATAGGTTTTGTCATCTTAAATTTATAAATGGAATAAAAAATAAAAAAGTTTCTAGGATTCTAAGAATCTCAGTTTTCTTTACAGTTGGTATAATTTATCATTTATTTATTTTTCTTTAACTGAATTGATCGGCTGACTGCTACCATTGAATTATTTAACAGATGTTACATCATAAATTGTAAAGTAATGCAGTTAAAATGCATTTATTTACTGCAAGAAAAATGATTTTTTATTCTTCAATTCTAAGAGAAATTTAATCAAAGAATAATTTAAACGATAATAAGCGATACATTTCATGTAGCATTGCATGCAGAGAATTTATTTCCATAAATATTGGATTAAGTTGAGAATTCGTCAACGATGATAAAATAATTTGTCTTCTTTTTCAGTATACTTTGCAAGTTAGACTGACAACCTTCAACAGTAGGTAACTAATATATTTATATATAGAAAAATAACACCCATAAAAAATAGCAGTTCCCTTTTTTCTCTAAGTCTGTATCATTCCGCTAAACAAGCTAAAAAAAAAAAAAAACGATAAACAGTTTAAAGTATTACTTTGAGTGCTAAACTGTCCCAAAGATGTTTTAAGAACTACTTAGCTGTTTTTGTGTTCTTTAAAACATTTTTGTTTCGCTTTGTAATCCTTGATAAAAAATTTAACGGTTCTAGATATTATTTATTGATGGATATTTTTCTAACAGTTATTACGTTTGTCATTGTTAACCGAAACTAATTTTGCAATCCCAAATCAGGGTTACCTTATTTTTAACAATATATATTTATTCAATCGTTATTATTAAATCATTGCATAAAATTGTATTCAAATTGAGCCTGCCTCTCAACTGGATATTCTGAATTTCACTATCTGCATATAATTTAAATTAAAATTAATTCCAATCTCTCTTATGTTCTTCATGGGATTTTTTATTATTTTATTCTTTTTTATTATTTTTTTTTTAAGACATGCATTCACGACTTTAATTAGCCAATAATCTGAATCATAGTTACTCGTACATCCACCAATATCGTTGGATAACATTTTACTTTTATTTAGTATTGTCATGTAGATTATGGAACCTGCGCAGTACCATCCATATTTGGCTTGAAGAAAATGTTCAAAAGGGAACGCTTGTTGTGGGTTCAACTTCATTTTTATTTTACAAAATAGAAACGTGAATAGATAAAAATGTACGAAATACAAGTTAGAAGTTTTAGCTTTAAATAGAAGAAACATATAATAACTCCAATTCGAAAAATAAAATACAACTAAAACAAAGAAAGATAGATAAAATTACGCTGAAAAACACAAACTTATTTAAAGCAGGAGAGTTACACATAACTCAGTTCTTAATTTATTTATAGTATGTGCGAAAAGTTTTAATTTTTTTAACTTGCATGAATGGGTTTCGTCAAACGAGTACGTAAATTTTATAATTTGATTACACGGTAAGGTATAAAATAGTGGTCAAACAACGCTGATTTTTAACAAATTTGTCAAAAACTTGGAAAACATTACTATAAATGTCCCTGTAACTTGGAAATGAGTTCCCTAAGAGGAAAATCCCATAGAATCAAAGTTGTAGATCATCAAATATTGTGCAATCTCAGTTTTTTGACAAATTTGTTATAAATCAGCTTTGGTTGACCGTGGTTTTATACCTTACCGCGTAACCAAATTATAAAGTTTATGTACTCGTTAGACGCAAAATTTAAGGTTATTTTATTTATTAAAGAATCTATTTTTCGCTTTGATGAATCGTATAGGAGTTATAGGTAAAAATATCGAAAATATATGACTTTTTTGGCTGTAAAAAGTTTTTCCTTGGTGGCCCGAATTAGCAATTTTGTTTTTACATGTCTAAGCCCATATATACAAGTTAAAAAAAAAAAAAACTTTTCTTACATTTTTCACAATGGATTTTCAAATTCGATCATCAAATTACTGGCCTAACATTTTTTAAATCGGCAGCCGTTTCTAAAATCAGCGTCTCTGGAAAGGCAGAAAAGGTTCTTTTTACTCAGAATAACACGTACTTTCGTAATTTAAAATCAAACCTTCGCCTGCGATATAGTCAATTATTGAATCCTGGCTCCAGGGCTATTTGTAAGTGACACTTGCATTCAATTAAGTTATTAGATATGTTACCTCAAATTATAATATTATTTATTCAATAATGCGTGCGTAGTCCTATAGTATTTTTTTTTACGTTTATCAAACAAGTAGAGTCTAAAATATCGTTTCACCGCAGAAAGATAACTTAAAAAGGTTATTTTGAATAAAAAAATTGCAACTATGACTGTCCCTATACCGTCCATGTGTTGGACACCTCTGTTTTCAACTAAAAATAATAAAAGTAAATCAGTACTTACATACATACTTATCTACATGTTATAAAGGAATTGGGGTTAAAGTATTTTATATTATGCAATTAAAATTGAAATTTAGCTGCTATATAGCAATATATGCAATATCGTGCAACAAAAACAAACACCGTGCAGTTTAGTAGCTCGAAAAGGCCAAAACGTGCAATTTCGTGAAAAATCAAATTTCAGTATATTATTCTAAATTTGAAGTTTTTACACCTAAGCGGAAAAAGTGTCCAATAACATGATAATCCGATCTCTAGTTATAAGTTGAACATTTTCTGCTTTAGGCACTGGGTCCATAGTATTTTCTAATCTGCCCTTGATCTCCATATACTTTTTACAATACGCCATATAATGTGTAAATTTTTCGCAAACACTAATCATAGATAAAGCATCTTTATCTCACGATAAAGAATTATAAATGTAACAATAGATAATGGTATTATACCACGAACAGTGAGCTAATAATAGTTCAACAAAGTAACATGAGATTTCCTGTAGGAGAAAATACAGCTGACTAAATTAGGATACATGTGTCCTACATGACAGTACACAAAGGAGTCATCAAACAATGTCGGCCTCAATTGTGAAGGGAACCGACAAGAGCATACCTCAATGGAGCATACAGCCATCACAGATCACAATACTCTCTGCAAATTTAAAAAACTATTCAATTTGAGTATTATTTTTGATATTTTTTTCTTTTAACGCATAACGAATTGAACTTCAATAACTATCTAACTGTCTAAAGGCAAGAAAGTTAACATGAGCAACACATCTACCTCGAAGTATAACATTAAGGTGTCAAGAGTCCAGTTGTTAGCAAGAGTTAAGGTCAAAACCAAACAAATTGAATAAATAGCATAGATAATAATACCAGCAATTTTTAGGTTCCGGATAGACTTATTGTTAGACAAAATTGAATAACCAGAGTGGGGAATAATAAAAAAGCGTTATAAAATGTATATACACTATATAAAATATCTTCGTTATAACTTAAATATTTTTAAACAGATGAATGGTTAGGGTGATCATTCAAAAAAAAAATAAAATAAAATAAAATAAATAGTTATATTTATTTTTATTTTTTCCGACGTTTCGGACGTTCAGGCCATCATCAGGGTTGGTCAAGCGACGAGCTGTCACAAGACATTTATCGTCTGGCCAGCCCTGATGAAGGCCTGAACTTTGGGCCGAAACGTCGGCAAAAATAAAAATAAATATTATTATTCATTTTTACTGATTACTCTAACTATTCTTCTCTTCAATTATTCACTACAGTCAACCACCAATCTACAATTATTTAATAATGACACAAATTGACCAACTGAAATCGATTAATAACTGCTCAACACTACCACTGAAGAATAAAAAGGTGAAATAAAATGAACAGCTGAAATTTTATTTATTTTTATTTTTTTTCTTAGACCCTTAATACTTTTTTGACTAGTTTTAAGTTCCTCTTTTTCTGCATTTTAAGGAAGTTTATGTTATTACAATAGTTTCTGCTATTTTATTATTTCTAATTAGGCGATGGGACTCACCATTTTTTTTTTTTTTAATGGACTTAAACAACAATTAAAGCTAAATTTATTTTTCATACATCTTTTGCCATCGTTGAGGTAGTATAGAAGTTTTAATGTGTTTGAATAAGTTATTTGATACAATTTTTGTTGATCGGTAAAATTTGGCATTCCTTTCAGTCATAAAATCCTTTACTTTAGCTATTTTAAGCTCATCGTGAAGTCTTGACGCCGCCTTCAAACGCTGCAGTGACGTTCCTTTTATTATTTTCCGTGATATTCCATTTTGAACCGATTCAGGTCGTTTTTCTGTCGATTTTATAATAAATAAAAAACATTTTTAAAAAATAACATAATACTAAAAACAGCATATGATATATATTGCGATAAGAAGAAAACGTTATAAATTAATGTTTTTCGAACTTATTTTGTAAATGTACCGTAAGGTAAGGTAAAAAAAAAAAAAAAAAATGGAACTATATTGACATTACGACAAATTTATCGTTTACCCCTGTTCCATGAAAATCTCTGCTAGAAATGAAAGATTATCAGTTTGAAATTACTTCGTATTTTTTAGCTTTAACCATGTTAACAAACATGGCCTATTATTTAACATCTATGTTATCATTGCTTGAGCAGTTATTGTTTGCTGAAATGTATTTCTGTATCACATGTTTGTTTATTTTTTATTTTACTGAAACGATGTGTAATAAAGAAAT